CCTAACCTTAAGAGGAAGAAAGAGGGCCCCGGCTGGTCACGCGAGGATGGGGCGGGCACTGGATCTCCGAAAGGGAGGCAGGCGATCGACAGGGGAGCATTTGGAGCAGCATGGAGCCCTCGGCAGACAGACTGGCTAGGGCGGCGGCCCAGGGCCGCGAGCAAGAGGTTCGGGCTCTGCTGGAAGCAGGGGTTTCGCCCAACACCCCGAACTGTTTCGGCCGCACCCCGATTCAGGTAGGCACAGGGTAGCTCATCTGCAGGGGGATGGTAGCTTTTGTTGAAGAAAAGCCAGCATTTCTGGTGAGTTTCCAATGTGACCCTGACTGCAATGGCCATTCAATTACCATTTGACATGCATCCCCTGCTATTTTTGCTGCCCTCACCCTCCCTTTTAAACTAACTTGGTATAGTATACCACTTTGGCATCAGGTTTTCAGTTTCTCGTGATTGGGAGTTATTATTTGTTCCCATCTATTGTCAGTAGATTTTTTTCTCGTTTTGCTTTCGCTAACTTACTAAGCTTCAACCTAAAAGGGGAATTCTTTCTGTCACCGCCCGGTAATATCCACCCATAACCATTATTTCCAATTCTAACAAAATTCCTGTGAAACAAGAGTGCATTCTAAAAGCCTGTGCATAGCAACAGATGCAACTATGCAATATAGAATACATTTTACACAGTTTAAAACATAATAAAAATGAAATAAAAGTGAGACCTTGAGATCATTAACAAGTCAAGCGTGGAAACAGTTTGAGGCTAGACAGATTGGGTGGTTGTACACAATAGGTGTGAGCATTTAAAAATAGTGTGGCTTACAGTTTAAAGCGTCTGAAGCTTTACCAGCATCGGGGCGGGGGGTGGAGGGGGAGGCTGCCTTTCTTAAAATATGTAAGAGAAGACCTTATTTATTGAATGCAGAAAAGGAAAAAATTAGGTCGATAGTTTTTACAGCAGTTTAGTAAGGGGAAGAGAAAATCGTTTTGGTTCAGAACCTTAACCAACTTGGTGTTTGAGACAGAAATGCTTTGTTTCTAAAAAGAAAAAAAAAATCAGCTGGGCGGTGGTGGTGGCCGCATGCCCTTAATCCCAGCACTCAGGAGGCAGAGGCTGATCTACAGATGGAGTTCCAGGACAGCCAGTACTACACAGAAAAGCGTGTCTCAAAAATAAATAAACCGAACAACCAAAAAAAGAAAAAAAACAAAAACAATGACTCAATTCCAGGTACTTTCTTTACAAGGCAGTATCCAAGTATTCATTTTATTTTTGGTATTTTCAAATTTTCCATAAAATAAAAGATGTGAGCAATCTTTAAGTCCAAATTTATGAGCAAGATGGAGGAGTTTAACATACACATAGAGCACAGAGTATTTTTTCCTCTTTCTCTAGTTTACTTATAGTTTTCCTGAAAACTAAATTAGTTCAACTGTCTTCAGGGAAAGATTCAGCAATACTAATGCAATTGATTATGATATCTTGATGTAGAAAAATTGAGTGATTCGTCTTTACAGTCTCACAGAACTCTGCATGGCTATGTTCACTGAGTTCCTTCGCTCCTTCGCTGCTCCCACCAGCAGCTAGTCTGCCACTGTGGTTGTTCTCAATAAGAAAGGTTTGAGGTAGCAAAACAATCTGTGGCCATCAAAACCCAGCTCCTCTACCAAAAGTTAGTGCAGGACACACACACACACACACACACACACACACACACACACTCGCACGCACGCGCGCCCCCCTCCCACACACACACACACAGAGAAAGTCAGCCATGAATCCAAAAGGATGACAGAGCACAGAACAGCAAGTTGATTAGATCTTCCTGAGGGGAGCCAAAAAACTGCCTGAAGATTTTCCAAGGTGCACTCTTCAAGCTTTTTTTGGTGGCCAGCTTTATGGATTGGATATCCAATGGTTTGGGTTTTTTGGGGTGGGAGTTGTTGGTTTTTGGTTTTGGGTGATGCTGCATGCAAGACAGTTGCTAAAAGGATTCTCAAGAAGAGTCTTGAGGTTAGAAAACTTTCAGCAGAAGAGGAGGAGGAGGCAGCTGAAGCAGCTGCTTGTAGAGACAGCAACACAGGTGGATAAACCGAAGTAGGGGTATGAAGCAAAGGACAGGATGTGTGCCAGACTCTGTAGCGCTAGGAATAAGTCTTACTTCCGAGGCTGGTTGCCAGTGCTCAGTTTATAATTGTATAACTGTATAGACACACTGTAGGCAAACGCAACAGCACATCAATACATTTGCATAACATTGCCCTTAACTTCCTGTAGTCTTCAGTGCAGATTCCAAACCTATGGCCGAGTTTATTTTAGTGTGAGCAAGTTTCTTTATTCTATATCCTAGATAAAAATTGATCTGTGGCTTCTCTGTACAAAATGGTGTTTGGGGGCTTTCTTATTTTCTCTAGAGCAATTTCTGCCTAGTTTTTTTTTCCCCCAGTTAACTTTACAGAGCTTTAAATTTTTTTATGGCTCTGATTTATTTATTTAGTTGAGGGAGGGGTGTGTGTGGAGGACAGAGGACAACTTTTGGGAAGTGGTTCTTTCTTTCCATTATGTGAGTCTGGAAAATGGAAGGTCAGGCTTGACAGCAAAGAATTTTACCTGCTGAGCCATCCTGCTTACCCTAAAGAGCTTTTAAAGTTGCAGTTGGAGGTAAAAACAACTTGGGGAAAGTCTTATGTGAAAGTTAATACAATATGACTTTTATTCCTGCCTTGAAACTGCAAACAGGTGACCTCAAGTTAACATTCCTATTGGGGTTGTTAGCGTAACTTCCAGCCCCAAGCAAGCTCCTAGCTTAGCAGCTTATATCTAGCTGGATTCTTTTATTGTTTGTGTAGAAATATTTTTCCTGGATGTGTATCTGCACCACATGCCATGCCTACCTGAGGCCAGAAAAAGGTGTGGGATCCCAGAACTTACTACTGCCACAAAATACTCGTTTTTGTGGTGGTTATGGATTCCATTTCCAAATTTCTTTCTGGTGGATGGAGGGAACTAAATGGTAGAACTCTTGCTTAGTGTTCACAAAGCCTTGGGTTGAGTTCAATGCATCCCCTATGGGAACCCTTAATCATCATCATTATCATTATCATTTACTACTATTATTTTGAGACAGGGTTTTTCTATGTAGCCTTGACTGTCCTGGAACTCACTCTGTAGACCAGGCTGGCCTCAAACTCACAGAGATCTACCTGCCTCTGCCTCCTGAGTGCTGGGATTAAAGGCATGGGTCATCTGGTTTAGGAATGGTTTATGTTTCCAAGACAGTTTAAGAATTAGGAGCAGGCCTGTAGCCACAGTTTCTTTGGAAGGGGATTGTGCCAGGAAGATTGATAGTCCAAAGCTAGCTTTAAACTTTAAACTTGAGAAGTGTTTTTGTTTTTTTACTGTTCTAACACATCACATTTTTTCTCCTATTGGAAATAGTTTTTTTCTCATATACCATATCCTAATTACAGTTTCCCTCCCCATTCTTCTCCATCTTCCCTCCTTTAGTTTGTAAATGAATAAATAAATATTGAGAGCTCAAAGGCTAGCTTCCAACTTGGTAAGTAGGCTAAAGTTCTGATCCCCTTCCTCTTCTCCCTGGGTACTGAGAATGCAAGTAGACAGAGTTTATGCAGGGTTGGAGTTTGAACCGAGCGTTTCTTTCACATGTAAGGTCTTATACTTGCTTTATGACAAACTAGAGTAATTTGGATAGAGGGCACCTTAATTAAGAAAATGTTTCCGTCAGATTGACCTGTAGGAAACTCTTTGGGGGCATTTTCTTGATTTCAGATATGGGAAGATTCTGCCCAGTGTGGGCAGGTGGTCTCAGTTGCTTTAAGGAAAAAAAAAAAAAAGCTGAGCAAGCCAATGAGCACATTCCTCCTTTGGCTCTGCTTCAGTTCCTCCTTGCAGTTTCCTGGTACAGGTTCCTGGCTTGGCTTCCCCCCTCAGTGATGAACTGTGATACCCTTTCTTCCCCAAGATACTCTTGGTCATGGTCTTCATCACACCAATAGAAAGCAAATGGAGCCAGTTAACACACATTTAATGACTAAAGCAAACACAAAATTATCATTATGTAATTACAGAAGCTGGAAGTCTAAATCGAGTCCACGGGAGTTCCTTTGAAAGGCTATAAGCCAGAATCTGCCTTCTTTTTCCTAGCTTTAGTGGCTGTTGGCCCATGACTCCAGCATCTTTTCTCTGACCTCTGCAGCCCTGCTAACATCTTCTCTTTGGCAGGATACTTGTGATAACATTGAGCCTACTCTGGTAGTCCAGGATAATGTATCTCAAGATCCTAAATATAGCCATGTCTACAAAGTCTCTTCTCTCTGTAACATATTCACAGTTTAGAGGATTAATAATTTAAGGTAAGAAGGGGACATTAATATTTTAGGGACATTTTTAGACTTCAAGAAATCCAAGCATAACATTCCAGGAAGACAAGGCTAACAAGATTTTATGAGAATTCTGGTTGTTGGGTTTTTTTTTTTTTTTTTAGATTTATGTATTTCTATTATGTATATGAATGCTCTACTGACTTTATGCCAGAAGAGGGCATCAGATCCCATTGCAGATAGTTGTCAGTCACCATATGGTTGCTGAGAATCGAACTCATGACCTCCGGAAGAGCAGCCAGTGCTCTTAACCACTGAGCTATCTCTCCGGCTTCCTTGGATGTGTCTTTTGCCAACCACTTTTAGTAATTACCACACACTCGTTGATCGTCTCAAATGAGGCAAGTGCAGTCTTTGCCCCTGGTGATTCTCTACAAGCATGAGCACCATGAAAGCGTGGGAAATACCCTGTTAACCTGTGTGTAAGAAGAATGGAATGGAGAGGATGGGAGCTGCCAGCTGGTACCGGAAGCCCCTAAAGGGTAGAACCTTGTGACTGGTTGTCTCCACCGGGTAGTGTTGAGGCTTCTTAATAGGGTTTCTTTCTCGGTTCCTCCCGGCACTCTGCCCTTGACCCCTCTACTCTTCCTTCTTTTTCAGGTCATGATGATGGGCAACACCCAAGTAGCCAGACTGCTGCTGCTCTACGGTGCCGAACCGAACTGCGAGGACCCAGCCACCCTCTCCCGACCCGTGCACGATGCAGCGCGGGAGGGCTTCTTGGAAACTCTGAAGATACTGCACCAGGCGGGGGCGCGGCTGGATGTGCATGATGCCCGAGGTCACCTGCCAATCGACCTGGCCCAGGAGCGGGGCCATCTCGATGTCGTACAGTATCTATGTGCGGCCGAGAGCACCCCCAAGGCAGCCGGCCAGCAGGCATAGCTTATGCTCAAACACCCCCAGGTGAGCACGGCTTGTCCAAGAGTTGGAAATCTGAGCGCTTCCGAAACTCATTTGCAGATGGAAAAGTTGAGCAGGGTCTTCTGGCTGTCTTCAGTTCACACAGCCAAGTTGTGTGACAACCTAAGAAGATACAACTCAAGGGAGCCTGTGCACATGGACTCCATAAATTCCAGCTCCACCCATCCACTTATCCCCAGTCAAAGCCTAGGCTGCAAGGCAGGAGGGTCAGAGTTCTAAGGTTAGGAACTGTAACATGGAGCCGCAGCAGGGCTACAGAGCCTCGGTTTCGCTGCTTCGCAAACCCGCCTGGTGGACTGATTCCAAGGATTCCAAACTTCTTGGCCCTGTCCTTCAGCTCGCAACTTTGTCAGCCTTGCCCCTCGGCCTTCTCAATGGAAAAATTTCTATTTCCCACCCCGGGAGTTTTGAGGGTATCTGAGATGGAGAGCTTGCAGTTTTCTTTCCCTTTTAAGGAAAAGAGACATCTTTTTTCCTGTCTTTTTAAGCTTTCCATTTCATGGCTGGAGGTTCAGCTGTTAAGAGTGCACTGCTCTGCCTAAGACAGAGTTCGATATCCTGCACTCACCTCAGGCAGTTTATAACAGCCTGGAATTCCAGCTCCAGAGGATTCGATTCCTCTGGCCACCTTGAGCACCCAGCCCGCGCATGCGCGCGTACTCATAATTAACATAAAATAAAATTTAAGCTTTCCACTCCTTGGAGACGTGGCTAAACCACAAATAAGTATAAGCTTCCTTTGCCTTTCAAAGCCTTCAGCAATCACGAAGTCTTTCTTTTCTTGGATCCCATCCCTCTATCCCCCCACACATGAAGTTTCATGTTTAAAGTCTTTTATTTGCTAAAGAGAAAATGTTTTTAATTATAATAAGATATGTAAATCATTACACGAAAATAACACAAACGTTTAGTGTAAAACATTACTTAGAAGATACTACAATATATCCCAGAACAAGGGCGCAGAGAGTCTGGCTCTGGCCCTCTGGAAATGGGACTGTTGACTGCGGTTTACAGAATCCAAGCTGCCAGAAAGAAGAGGGAGGGGGGCTTTGGGCAGATCCTCCTTTGGGCAGACGCCTCCCAGGGAGCTTGTAGTTGGAAACCTGTTTTCAGTGAGTAGGTTTGCAAACCGGAGCAGAGGAGCATGATCCGAGCAAAGAAGTGGTGTGAGAAGCTGCTACAAGAACGCAGGAGTGAGGGTCGCAGGTGCAAAGGCTACAGTGGGAACAGAGGGGAGGAGAACTAGAGAGCGTGGGCGGGTCTGAAGCGAACCGCGAACACCTCAAAAGAAGTAGCGTCCATTTTGTTCAACAAGTGACAAGAAGCGGTGCGGGAGGGAGACCAGATGGGGTGGGGGTGTCCTCTGCCTTCCAGAGCACTGGGCAGTCTGCTCCCGGGACCGAGGGCACCTTGGCTGGGAGGCTGGGAGGCGATTCTTCACCGCAGCCCCAGGCCGGGTAGGATTCGCCACCCTCTTTCCTAGAGTCCTGGTTTTTATTCCTGCAGCAGAAAAGACTGCCAGGCTCACTCCGCTGACTTAGAGCCGGTGGGAAAACCCGGGACTGGAAGGGGACTGAGACCGGCGCGGGAGACAAGCGTGGTGGGCTGGGAGGAGGGCGGAGGG